TTTAAATTTTTAAATTTGATTTTTGATCATTTATACTCATTATGTTGGAACATCCTTTATTTTTTACAGTGGAAATCTAATTATTCAAAGTACTTTCTGGAATGCATTTACATTTATAAAAAGCATTAATTAAAATTAAATTTAATCATTCTTAGAAATAGTTGCTAATGAGATTAATTTAGATTAAAGCAAAACTGTTTTTTGACAAAAGATAGATCTGTCCAGTGACACAAAACATTGTTTCTTGCTCCTCACACAATTGGCAGTACAAATATTGCAGTTAGAATATGGGTTTAGTTTAAAATAATGTTTTAATATTGTTTTGTAACTTTAAATTGTTTCTAAAGTCTCTAGAATCTTGCTGCAGGTAAAAGTTCCATTCAAAATCAGTAGCAGATGTAAAATACTGATAACTTTATTTTTGGTTCCTGCTATACGGGAGACCTGAATTTGAGTCCTAAACCCAGTCTCTCTTTCAAGGAGATGAAGATTAGTAGGGGGAGTGAACTGGAAGTGAGGAGGAGGCATGTTTTCTTAAATGATCTAGTGTTTGGAACAGCATTAATGGTCTCCAGTGGGAGATTTGACCTACCTTCCTTGGCTAAAGAGTAGGTCATTGTATTGTGGGACTCAAAGGCGATGTTGAGGAAGAAAATGGGAGAGCAACCCAGAGTACCCCTTTTCTCCCCCAAAAAGCACTTTATATTTAATGATAAGCACACCTTCCAACTTAAAAGAAAGGCAGGGGAAACCTGCTTTGGCAAATTATTGTCCTTTCTGTAAATGGATGAACTCCTGAGACAAGTTGATCCCATATGTGATGGTGTTAGCGCTGTATTATCGCCTAGGCCGACAAGGCCTAGGCCTAAGCCAGCAAATTTGCAGTGGCGGCAAATTTATAATAGCAGCATTTTTGTGATTGTGGCATCAGTGACGCCGCGATTCTACCAATCATAGCACATATTGAAACCACTAATGATGGCGCGACGCCATTTAGTAAACATACTTGCGAGAATCCTAAACGTTAATAATATGACCGGAAGGAAGAAACTAAGCGGTTCTCAGTTTAAAAAAAAAAAAAAAGCTATACAAAAGAAAGAAAGGGAAAATGAAATGATAGCAAAAATGCGCAAAATAGATTCCTTTGTTGTATCAGTTAGAGCCGACAGTGAGACAGAAAAAATAGTTGAAAGTAGTAGTGAAGTAAAAAGTGAAAATATTGGTGTTGATATTGAAAATATTGATGTTTAATAAGTTCATATGGGGCCGGGGGCGACAATTATTTCAAGGCCTAGGGGCGGCAAAATCATTAATCCGCCACTGGATGGTGTGGGTGGATTATGTTTAATTGCAGCTGTAGATGATAAAGTAAACATAGAAGTTGAATGGCATTTATGTGAATGTTACTTCATTTACATGAATTTAAAAAACAGAAGATAGAGAAGTGGTGGGAGGAGGTGAGCTTTTTCTGCACCCTAGCAGAGGACTTTATTTAGTGAGTAATTGAAGAGCTATAGCTAGGATTTCAAGAAGAACATAATTATACTCAAAGCTAAAATGTGTAGGCAGCAGGAAACTGCTTTTCTTCATCCTGGTAAGGCATACTTGTAATTTTGGGTCTAAATGTGGTATATTATGTCAGTAAGAGGAATTGCATATTTTGTAATTCCTGACATTACACATTGTTTTTTCACTCTGTAACAATCTAACCTGCCTAGATATTTCTAGGTGTCATTGTGGTATCTGAACGTTAACAATAGCTGACTACAAAAGGTTTTCAGAGTTTTGAAGAGGCAGTGTCAAAAATTACTGATTTCCAAAGTTAGACATTTATCATGTATAGAACATTCAAGAATTTGGGATTGGGTGGGTAAATAGTATGTGATTGTGATCTCCCAATATGTTTTACATGTAGAAACAGCTAATTGCACAGGAAGGGGAGCTCTGCTAATATTTGCTACCATGGTAGATCTTTGAACATAAATGCTTTCTCTTTTTTGTATAATCTGTTCGTGCTGATGAAAAGGCCTTCTTCCAACACATAGATCCAACAGATATAATTACAATCCATGAATAACAAGAAACAACATTCCTTTGGGTCTCCAAAACCAGAATAGGCAATCCTCTTGTGAGTTTAAATAAAATAAAATCACTGATCTATGGTATTGTTTTTTGGTTTGGGTTGGGATTTTTTTTGACTACAGATAAGATATTTTGGTAATTTTGACACTTGCCAGGAACAATCCAGGATTTTTGTACATGCATGAGTGGTGGCTGACTTTTATCATTTGCAGTGCTTACCTGAGAGAAGAATCCATTCCTTTGATTCTATGTCAGTTGAAATGCCAATCTTTCCATGATGAAGTTAATATACACTGACAAATCAATAGCTGGTGAATAATGTTGGTTAATTACAGAGATGAAAGTGGGTGGGAAAAGGACAAAATACCAAATGTTAGATAGCAGAAATATGAGAGATTTGTTGCTAAGTGTTGTATAGCAACTCATTCTACACGTACAAGGCATGATAAAGCAGACGTCCTCCCTGAGAGGAGAGGGATTCACACTCCCACGGGAAAGATGTGCAAAAGTGAAATTGTTCCTTAGATGCTGTGGATGATGAAAATATGCAAACAACACCAGAACAAACAGGTATAGGAAACACCAACATACAGTTTTCATGTAAATCAATTTGAGGAATATCTGTCTAGCTAAATGTGTCGTTAATCCACCCATCAACCAGTTGTACCTAGGCATGTATTGGTCAAGTCCTTTGTGACTGCAGCTTCCATTAAGAAACTCAAGTATTTCAGAAGAAATGTAATTTCATGAGAAATGTTCTTTAAAATGATCTAAAAAACCCTTGTTCGTATGTCATAACCATGCTCATGTAGAATACACGAGAAGTAGGAATGAAGGGCTCTTATCTCAGTTTGGAGAGATTTGCGTGCGTAACTGCCTGAACGTAGAGAGGCGATTGTATACGTGTAGTAAGTCTTCTGTGCATTTCAGAGACATAACAAGTAATATTTCAGTGCTGCTCTGATTTAATGTTTGAGGTTTTTTTAGTGGTCGTAAGGTGATCTTTAAGACTTGATAAGCTTTGCAGTAACCTGTTACATGCCATATGCCAGGTCATCTGAGTTCAAAGCTCAGTTATTAGTTTCCAGGCTGGCAGAATTTGGAAAAGTTCCATGCCCTCCCCCCAATCCACTGCATAACTCTAAGATTTTATTTCTTGATATGACTTTTCTGTGAAGGAGAAAATCCACAAAGAAGCCAGCAGGTATCTAAGATCCAGAAAGGCCAGTGGATTTGGAAAAAGACCTGATGGCTCATCATTTTCTCAGTTGCAGAAATTGTGTGATTCCAAAAATAATGAGGCTTCCAACATTTTAATGAGCGTTTCTTACACTGTCATTTTTTGCAGAAGGCAAGTTAAAAAAAAAAAACAATATTCCATTCTTACAACCAAGACAGATATTGTTACAATATTAAAATTTAAATGTGGTGACTGAGTAAATGTGTTTGTGTGTGTGTGTGTGTATACACACACACACACACACAAACACATTTACGTCAGTCACCACATACACACACACACACAAATTAAATGAAGATAGCAGTAGTTTCATTAATTAGGACACTTTAATCTGTAGTTTGTGCTTGTGACAAAAGACCCTCATTTTCCTATGGACAATATTCAAAAATAAAATGAAGCAGTAAATTTTGTTTTGATGGATTCTCTGAGCTAAGGTAATAAAGGTGAGCAGGATACTATGCATGACTTCAGATTTGATGAAGTGTTGATGTGAACATTACAAACTAGGAAAAAGATCTTCATCCTAGTTCTATATTACATTAAGAGAAACAAAAAAATCAATGCCTGAAATGTATGTTAGAACAGAAAGCATATCCAGCACTGTGTACAGCACAGTAGTTCTTAGCAAAGTTGTCAAATGACTATATTTGGATGGAAAATCAATAACTTTTTTCTGCACCTCCACATCAATGTGTTGTAATGAGTTTTTTCCCACTGTTGTGGCAGCTTCATTATTTAAATGGGAACACCTAGCATATGACAGCAAAGTAGCTATTCTCTGATAATTGAGTTATCTCGATTCTTCCTAGTCTGATAACGTTTTCTGATAAATTATCATTCATGCATGTATAATACAAACTAAAGGCCCCTTATTAGTCAGCTTTTAGTAATCCTGTTGATAATTAAATATAAATTTGACTAAAATGTATTCTTCCACCTTCAAGTCTTGTCATAAAAATATTTAGAGTATAAACCAATACTCAGCAGGGCATTATATATACATATATTTTACTGTTAGTAGCAAGCGTTTTGTTCTATATTTGTGCAATTTTCAGTTATGTTTTTATACAGCACTACTAAATTAAACTTCTGATTGCTCATTACTGTCAGGAATGACTGACTTTAGGGCAGCATGACAAAAACGACTGAACGTTGACATTTTAGTTTTCTGTTCAACATACAACCGTAATTTGTCTCTAAAAGTTTCACCTAGAAAACTGTAAATCAGAGGGTTCAAACAACTGTTAGAAAAGGCTGCTAGGTTTACAATATGTCCTGTTAGGGGATAATCATGCCGAAAAGATTGGTTGCCTGAAGAGAGAGTCTTTCCTTTCTCTTGAAGAAGCTGAACGCTAATGAAGACATTTTCAGGTAGCCAGCAGATAAAGAAAACCAGGACGACTACAAAAATCATTCGAAGAGCCTTTTGGCGCCGTAGTCGAAGACTCCTGTGTTTGTGTGCTTTTATAAGAACTCGAACAATTAATGAGTAACAAAGACCGATGATCACAAAGGGGATTATAAACCCCAAGGTTATTTCTAACCACTGGATTTCTTCTACATCTGCAAAACAAAAGTAGACCTCTCCAGTGTGCTGCAAATGTACAGCTGTAAATGGCACTAGTGCTGCAGAGATAGATGCCATCCATATGAGGCCACAGCTTAATCTAGCATGCTGCATAGTCCGAAATATGTTGGACCTCATTACTTTTGCAAGTGCTATGTATCTGTCAAAACTCATCCATGTCAAAAAGAAAATGCTGCTATACATGTTGATCTGAAGGAACAGAGACATGAAAGTGCAAATTATAGTGATATCATAATACTTTTCATCAAGATTAAAAACCTCAATGAGGGAGTCAGCAACTAAAATCAAATCAGCTACTGCAAGATTTATGAAGTACAGGTCAGGAATAGTCATCTTTTCTCGAAAACTTATGTTCACAACTAAAATCAGAATGTTTCCCACAAAGCCAATAGGGAAAAGGAAAATAGTGTAAAGGCATGATAAGAAAAGCCCAATAATGTATTGTTGGTGTTCTTCTGATTTATCAGCCAAGATAGAAGACATGCTTTCATTACATAAATGTGATCCATTTAGTTCAAAAGATGTGCTGTTACAAATAAATGGTGATACTGCTCCTGTGTAAGATTCCATGGTTAGGATCTCTGCTGGAAAGATTACATCGGTATTCACGCTTTGACTTTCAGTGCCAAAATGGTTAAATTGTTGGGATTTCCAAAGAGGTTACAGCAAGCATTTTAAGGATTTGGAAAGAGGTTTACTTTTTTTGTATAAAATGTTTAAACTGTTTGGAAATGGAATGGAAGCCAAACCAATTAGGCTTGAAATTGGCTGAAATTTATCAGTTACAGAAAAGTAAACTGTTTAAGAAATTTGCTATTTGTAAGATGCCATGCAAATGAGAAAATTAATGTTTCAGATCATGCAGGACCTTTCTGAACTTTATGGTCATTGAATTGCACATACACAAATGTTTCTTCACAAATGTTCCTTCTTGCAGATTGGAAAATGGTAGAATTTTAGGTTCGTTGATTCCTTTTAACAATTACTGAATATCCTTGGACCTGCAATTAGTAAATGAAAAATTATTAAACTCATGCCTAGATGATTTATTTTAACTTTTTTAAAGCTCGGGCATTCTATGGTATATGGATCGGGGGTTTACACTTACGTACACAAGTGATTGTGTGTTTAGGAACATGATGCTTGAATACATATAAACAAATGTTCAGCAAAAAAAGCATTTAATGTACATGAGAGAGAGATTATTAGGAGCAACCTGATCAAACATTGTGTGCTAATCAGGAACTCTTAACATTGATAAATATGAGAGGGGGATAAATCAGTGAAGTTGACCCATTAATCTCTGGAGTAGAAGAGAGGAACTTTCCTATGTATCATATTCTTTGTTTTCCTAGTCAAATAGCAAGCTTATTAAGTAGCATAGGCTTTGGCTGCAAAAATGTTAGAAAAAATCTAGACAGATGAAATGCCCTTGGTACCTTCTGCTTGCAGAGAAAGAGACAGAAGGAAAAGACATCTTTTAAAAACTAAGAGATAATGTGAATTTGTATTAATTTACACCATCTTCATGTTTAACTTTATTTTCTTTGCAATAAATTATACTGCATTAATTTCCATAATGGGAATGGCGTTGAAAACAACACACCAAGGTGAAAAATAAGAACTTTATAAACGTAAATTTATGTAAACTTGAAATCTTAGCAAAAGTTTCCAAGTTAAAAAAAAAAAAAAAAAAAGGGCAAGAAAATGGTAAATTTAAATATTTTTATAGTTGATTTTATATAATTTTGTTTTAAAAATAATAAACCTGTTAGTAATAAGATGAATACATTCTATTCTGTACTATAAAAGTGAAAATGTATACCTGTAGAACACATGCAAAGATATGCTTGGATAAATGCATGAATTAATAGATGCTTTATCTTTTTATTATTTTAAAATCTTAGTGATTTAAAATACTGGTGGTGCACATTCCCAGGAGAGAAAAAGATCAGGCTATTAGAACTGGACAGAATTAAAATATCTTCTATGAAATTTATTTTTGGGCTTAATAACTTAAAAATCATTCCAGCTATTGCTAGTAATTAGCAGGATATATTTTGAGGCATTATTGCAATGCAAGTCTTTGTTCATACAAAAGCATTTTTATGAAATTTTGCTTATCCGAGGTCATTTTGATTTTTCAATTAGAGATCTAAACATGCCATGTATATTTGAATTGTTGCCTTTTTCTGAAATATTCATAATAGAAACAATTTTTGTTCTTGAATGAGATGATAAACTGCTTCAGATGCAATGAAGGGGAAATTAATATTTTAAAAAATTAATGTTTCAGAAAGGTAGATCTGTAAAGATAATCTAACTATGCATAAAAGTCCACCAAAAACCAAACCAATACCTTCAACGATTAGATTGTTTGCAGCTATGTAAAGTGTTAGAATTTACCTTTTAATTCCTGTGTGTCCATCCATAGTCATTTGTTCGGATCTGATTTTCTTCCAAACACCATAAGGCTGGTTTATATTCAGATACACTGTTAGTGGATATGTTAATTTCAGCTATACCAGCAGTCAAAACTTTTAATGTTATTTAGGTGATACCAAACTGCACTGAATGTCACCTGCTGAACAATTCAGTAACAAAAAATCCATATAAAATCATATTCTGTTAAACATCCTAAATAAATGACTATCATTGTTTTGCCGCTAATGCAGATCTTCCTGCAGTTCCTTGGTAATAAAAGATGGCTTTATAGATTCCCAGGGTCGTTCTAATTTGTGTTCATTTGAAGTGCGGTGTTGAACAGGCTTCCTTTTAAGGCTAGAATTAACCCCATTTCTGCTGGTTCCTTTTCTTTACCAGAACTAGACATTAATCTTTTCCCTCATATCTATCAACTATCTTTACGATGCTTAATATAGCTTTCATTTTACCCTTCCTTTGTTTTTGAGGGAGGATAAAATTGTAGATTCAAATGAGCACCAGTTCAAAGATTAATTTTGAGTAGCAACTAAACATATTTTACTGTGCATCTATAGCAATAGTTCAGTTTATCTAAGAGTTTAAAAGACTTTCACAGTCCAAAGAGAAATATTAGAACTTTAGAAAAATAGTAGTTTAGTTAATGAATGATCTGAAAACTTGACTAAAATTTTCCTATCCTCTTTGAGAGTCCTATTTCTCTGTTAATCCCTTGCATTTCGTGTATCCTCAACTTGACTCTGCTTAGTTCTGCTCAAAACCACCTGTATGAAATAAGCTTAATGATGCAGTTGATTTGGAGAATCAGTCTTGCTTCCAAACCCCACTATGGCAGGTGAAGTTTTGCATTTCATCTCCAGGGGCAGAGAACTAGCTGACAATTGCACAAACACCACCTGCTGGTTGTCAGAATTGTTCTATCATAACTGGAAAAAGTCTTAGAACATTCTAAAACGAGATACATGTTTTAAACCCTTATTTCTCATTTGAAAGAAGAAAACTAAAGTTCATATGCACAATGTTCAGAGCTTTTTGTTTTACTTCTGTTTTTATATTTATGGTCTGACTTTTATTGTAAAATGCCACTCATTGCTCAACTTCTATACAGTATTCTGTAGCTACTCTCCTAAGGTAGGCTGCAGAAGGTCTTGTTAAGCATGTATCCTCGTGTTCAGGATTTTCAAAGGGATTTCAGATTACAGGTTCAACTTGGGATAGAAGTAGTCAGCCTGTTGCCTTTTTTACATGTTTACAAAACATTGTTAAAATTCCCTGAGTTGTTTTGGTGTCTTTTTTTTTTTTTAATTTTAAGTAACAGAGGAAAGAGATTCGTTTTCTTGTGTAAAACTTGAGTAAAAGGCCTTTGCACAGAGAAGATAAGTGGATGATGGGCATTTCTTAGCCCCGTTGCAGCAAAAATGCTGCCTCCCTGTGATGTGATCAGTTATAGAGGGGACAGCGTCACCAAAATAAAGGTTCTGTTTAAGATGCTTGTTTTCCAAGTTCCAAACATCAGTTGGCTTTATATTAAAATACATAATTTTGTACAAAGTACTAATTCTTTTGGCATTTTGGATAAAACAAACTTTTTTTTTTTTAAATGGCCAAGATATTTTCTTTGAAACTCGCCATTAAGTAGCTTTTTTTCCATAAAGCAGAAAAAAGTCAAACACAGCATTATTTTATTATAGTTTTATGAGTTCTATATTCATTACACATTTTTTTTTGTAGTCTGAAGGGGTCATGCTCTACTGAAGTTTCTCTGAACTTTTCTAAAAAAAAAAAAAAAAAAAAAAAAAAAAAATATTAAAAAATTTAAAAAAAAAAAAAAAAAAAAAAGACTGAAAACATATTCAAATCTGAACATAGATTTGTTTGTCCAGCTATAACATCAATGTTATTGATTAATCCAGTGGCATCTTTAGCATTCAGCCTTGTCATGGTAAAAAGGGATATAAAATGGTTCAAACAAATTTTAGTGGCTGTTGAACGTTGTACACCTTCTATCTCCTTAGCTTTGCTGATATTCCAGACACATTTGATAGTAACGGGTATCTTAACAACCCATATTAAATGACAGTCATGCTATTATTGGAGTTTATGGTACCTCCTGACGTACGTCATCAACTTTATTGTTGCTAAGAATGCACTTGATAATTACTGGTATTCTGTCTAGGGATATGTGAGACTGAGAAGAGAAGTAGTTACTTAATTGTGATTTTTTTACAAGAGGCTTATTTGTGACTATATAACAATTGAGTGTTTTGATTTTTCAGTCAAGTATGTAATGGCATTTAAGAATTTATTTATTTTTAACGTACAGGATTCAGTGACTGCAATTCCTATGTGCTCTCATGTATTAGTAATAGTTTTACAGATTAAATATATGAGTAGCCATCACTCCCACATAATTTGGCAACAGCAGCCTCACCCCTATATCCCCGCCATTATGGTGTAGAAAGAGTGGGGCTTGTAATTGAGTAGGAGCCTAAGTGAGAGCAGGGCAAGGAGGAATCCAAGCAGTGCAGCCCACCTTCCATGCTACCAGCAAAGCAGCCTCCCCTGCTGGCTGCAGATTGCGGAGGAGCCTGCTAGAGCTTCTCAGGGGTGTATGAGGTGAAGGCTGCTAGAATCTGCCAAGAGAAGTATGAGGGCTGGTCTTCACTATGGGGAGATTGATGCTGCTGCAATCGATGCAATGGGGGTTGATGTAGTGGGTCTAGTGAAGACCCGCTAAATTGATGGCAGAGCACTTTCTGGTCGACCCTGGTACCACAGCACAAGGAAGACACCGGGGTAAGTCGACCTAAGCTATGTCAACTCCAGCTATGTTATTCACATAGCTGGAGTAGCATAACTTAGATCGACTGATCCCCATAGTGAAGACAAGCCCTGAGACAGCACTGGGAGGTGCGCAGTAGTTGAGCCTTGGAGGACAGGACTGGGATAGGTGCTGGAGCATTCTCAGATGGTAAGGGAAGCTGTACCCAGTGGAAAGAGGAGCAAAACTGAGGGGGAGATATGATTGCTGTCTATCAATATGTCAGAGGGATAAATACCAGGGAGGGAGAGGAACTATTTAAGCTCAGTACCAATGTGGACACAAGAACAAATGGATATAAGCTGGCCATCAGGAAGTTTAGACTTGAAATTAGATGAAGGTTTGTAATCATCAGAGGAGTGAAGTTCTGGAACAGCCTTCCAAGGGGAGCAGTGGGGGCAAAAGACATAGCTGGCTTAAAGACTAAGCTTGACAAGTTTATGGAGGGGCTGGTATGATGGGATAGCCTAATTTTTGGCAATTAATTGATCTTTAACTATCAGCGGTAAATACGCCC